CTTTGCCCTCCTTCCCTTCCCCCTATCTCCACGTGGACCACCAAGGTGAGATGAGGTGAGCATTGCTACCATGTAATGTGTCTTACTGCATTATTGTAATATCTCTTCTATCGCTCATGCTCTCAATGAGTTTAAATATAATACTTATATATCTCAACCGTACAATTGTCACTATTGAACCTGTGACTAGTGGAGGGGGTTGGCCCTCCACCCACCCAATAAATTTATACTACATGATAAATAAATAAATAAATAACCACTAATTGGGAATAGGACACCCTCTTTAATAAATGGTGCTGGAAAAATTGAATCTCCCTCTGCACAACAAAGAAACCGAATCCATAACTCACCCCTTGAACAAAAAGGGACTCAAGATGGATTAGAGACTTAAATGTAAACCCCAAAACTATCAAGGTCATCAATAAGAAAATCCGGATAAATGCAAGGGACCTATTGCAGGGCATACAAGGCCCACCAAATATAATAAAGGAAGCACACACAATGGAAAACAAAACAGATGACCTCTTAGAAAGAAAACATTTATGCACACCAAAAGACTTCATCAAAAGAGTAAAACTAAAGCCTAATAACTGGGGGAAAATCTTTAGCCATTACATAACAGACAAGTGAATAATTAGTAAAATCTACAGAATTCTGAAACACTGCAATAAGAAAGACATAAATAATATACTTAAAATGTGCTCAGCGGACTTGAATAGATAATTCACAAAGAACGACATTCAGGTGACTAACAAATAAAGGAAGAAATATGATCACTAAGTATCCAGGAAATAAAAATCAAAACAATGATGATATATAATCTTACACCCACAACAATCACCCAATCCCCAAAAATAGAGAACAACAAATGCTGACAAGAGTGCAGAGAAATTGGAACTCTTATACACTGCTGCTGGGCTTGTAAATATGTACAACCACTGTGGAAAGCAATCTGGCTATACCTAAAACAACTGGGAACAGAAATACCATGGGTCCCAGCAATACCTCTACTGGGCCTATAATCCCAAAGAAATGAGAGGGAAAACAGACATATGCTCTCTCATTGTGTTAATAGTGTCCAGGTTCTTTGTAGTTTTATACATGTCAACAATTCTGGCTGATTGTCTTATAATTTACTTTTCCCAACAGTGCTTTTAATTCTACACTGTTAGTTAAACTAATGACACCATCAATGCATAGTGGTTACACATTGGGCTGCCAACCACAAGGTCAGTAGTTTGAAACTCCCAGGCAGCTATGCAAGGGAAGGAAAAGCCTGTTATGATTTGCAGGCTCAGAGCCTCACAGGGCTAGCTCTACCCTCCCCTATAGTGTTGTTATGAGTCAGCATTGACTTGGTGGCAGTAGAAGTGATGACCCACGGGGGTGATCAGTAATGTTCTCTAACATAAAATGACAAGGATGTCTCTAAGGTGAACCAGAGATATATAAAAGCCATATATGCATGAATTAATTTGGTGCTTGCACTTAATTCAAGACCCCACTCTAAGACAGGGCCCTGCTTGATGCTTGCCCTCGAGATCACAGAAGATATGGGTGCTACAGCAAAGTACAGTGAAGAAGCTAGCTGGTGCCTGGTTATCAGAATAAATAGCATCTGGCATGTTAAAGGGCCTAAAATACTTGCTTTCAAACAAGCCACTATATAGGTGAGGCATCAACTAAGTCCACATGGAAAAAGAACATCAGCCTGTGTGATCCAAGGAGTGTAAATAATTTAATCCAAATCTAATGGATGGAATCGTATCATAGCTTAAATTGTGAATACCTGGTTTGCAGAAGGCTATGGATGACAGTGGAAACCCAAAATCCATTTGCAAAGTTTATACATGGATTAAGCCTCTGGTGAATACCCTCTGACCATGTATCATGGATATGAACAGCCTTTCTTTCATGTTGAATGTATTCAACAGTAGATTGCTGCAGTTAAAATTTAGCACCCTATCATTTGCTCTAACTTATGATTCATTTAAATTTGTTCTACTTTTTAATCTTTCCTTTTCGATTGAGGTTTTTATCTATTTCACGTTGTTATTCTTGTTGGGGTTTTTTGTTTGTTTATTAATTTTTTTGTATATGAAATCCAGGAGAGGTAATCTATAGAGACAGTAATTGAATTAATGGTTTTTTGGGGTATGGCAGGGGTGGTTGGGGAGAAATGAGGAGCTAATAACAATGAGTACAAGAATGAAGAAAATGTTCAAAAACTGATTGTGATGATGATTGCCGAACTCTTCTTGATATGATTGAATTTGAATTGTATGATGTTCAAACTATATGGCAATGAAACTTTCAATAAACGAAGGAAAGAAAGAAAGAAAGTAATAGGAAACAGCCTACAAAATAGAGGATATATAAACAAAATTCACTGCCATCAAGTCAATGCCAACTCATAGTAACCTTACAGGACAGGGTAGAACTGCCCCTTTGCGTTTCTGAGTTGGTAACTCTTTATGGGAGTAGAAAGCCCCGTCTTTCTCCTGAAGTGTTACTAGTGGTTTTACACTGCTGATCTTGCAGTTAGTAACTCAAAGTGTAAGCAATACACCATGAGAGCTCCAGAATACGTGGAAGTCATATATCTGATGAGAGCTAATATCTAGAATATATTAAAAAAATAACTATCACAAGTCAACAACAAAAAGCTAACCCAATTTTCAAAAGAGCAAAGAACTTAAACACACATTCCTCCAAAAATTATTCACAAGTGCTGCCATGCCCCACTTCAACTATACTGCATCCCCCACTTCAACTATGTTGCATGCCCCACTTCAACTAGTACATGGAAAAAATGTCAACATCAATAGTCATTAGGACAATGCAAATCAAACCACAGAAACGTACCACTTCGCTCAGATTAGCATGACTATTCACCACTCTTCTCTCACTCACTCCTCATAACAACACTCATGTATTACTATAATTCTGGAAGTTAAACCAAAATACAAATACCAGCAGGGTTACCCCTGGTTGAAAAGCTTCAGTGGTGTTTACAGACTAAGAAAGGCCTAGAACCAAAATATTATCCAATATTGTGCTAAAATATGAGATCCTATGTTGACAGGTGTTACAAACACACAGTGCCACAATAATGCCCGAGTATACCAACAATCATAAATGGCACAGAACCAGACCACATTTTCTTCTGTAGTATATGAGGTTGAGCAATAAATCACAGCCAACTGCACACCACCACCAACAACAACAAAAAGGCAGCTAAGGACAAGGCAACTAAAAACAACAGGTACATGTAAGGATGTTAAGTAACTGGAATTCTCTCCACTGCTAGTGAGAATAGAAAATGGTGCAGCTACTATAAAAAGCACTTTGGCCCTTCCTCAAAAAGTTATACACAATTACCATCCAGCAAATTGCCATCGAGCCAAAGGGACCCTATGGGGCAGAATTGAACTTCTCCATAGTGTTTCAAATGCTGAAGATCCATTCCTAAATATATACCCAAAATAACAAAAGCAAGGACTCAACTAGATATATGGACACTAATGCTCATTACAGCATTATTCATAATAGCCAAAATGTGTAAACAATCCCGGAGCTCAATAAAGATAGACAATTAAAACATGTTATAAGAACATGAGTGCTACTTACTAATAAATAAAGTTATAATACATACTGTGACATAGAATAACCCTGAAACATTATGCTGAGTGAAATCAGTGAACAACCTAAGCACAAATATTATGATTCCATTTATATAAAATGTCTGAAACTGAGAGAGAGGGAAAAGAGAAGTTATTGCCTGGAGCAATTGCCTTTCTATTTGGTGTGATGGAAACGTTTGGAAATAAGTGATGGTGATGGTGGCACAATGTGGGGAGTGCAATTAATGACACTAAGTTATTCCCTTAAGAAGGTTAAAATGGAAAATGTTCTGTTATTTCACAATAAAAAGAAAAAAACAAATGCATTAACAGAAAACATAATATTAAAAATTAATATTTCCTTGGTAACATTTTATAAGTGACATTTCTAGTACCATAATTAAACAACTGAGAAGTATATGACTAAAAGAATACTTTAAATTTATGTGCATTAACCATTTTATGGTTTTTCAAAAACTATAATAATTTACTATGACTTCAAATAAATATAACAGAATGAAACTATAATTCCCACAGCACTGCTGTCCAAACACAACACAAATTACTAATTAACATAATTTTTGCAGCCAAGATGTTGAACACAGATTTAATATGAGGTAATATTAAAGTATACTTGCCAAGTAGACACACTAATAGTATGATAATTATGAAAAATTAAGTATGGTAGCTTTGAAAAACTAAGGCCTTTACAAAACTATTTAGGGATAAAATACAGAATCTGAAATTTACTTTAAAATATTTTAGGGAAAAAAATTGGGCTGATGAAGAACAAAACCTGGTTAATGACTGGATCTGGATGACAAGCCCTGTATGAGCTTTCTACAATGTTCCCTCTACTTTTACATCTATTTTATAAGTTCAAATTATTGTTAAATGAAAACAGTATATTAATGCTCAAGTGTGTGTGTGTCTTTGGGAGTGAGGTGTGCAGTAACTTTACAATGTGTTCTCCAGAAAGAAAATTTCACCATTTTTATTATACAAATATATCAAATTGAAAATTAGTTTAGACTCTGTCCTCCAATTTATAAACTACCCTTAAAGTTCAATATTGAAAACATCACAACCAAGCACTTAGTAACAGTAAAAACATCTCTATAATTAACTTCAAAAATAAAATTTAACTCTGATCTCCATTCCGCATCATCTCGCAATATTTTATTCCATCCAGAACTTTTTAAAGTGAATAAAATAGTCCAAGTTTAGAACACAAAATGTGTCTTTCCCTCAAATGCATGTTATGCTGGTGTGTAACCAACAGCATCAGCCTTCTATAGATGATAAGACTAGCCTTCAAATATCCCTTGCACTAAAGATCAAAGACTCAGGGAAAGTCAAGCAGAACAAAGTTGTTACCAGGGAGGAATTCTGCCAGCAGACAGTTTGCCCTTCTGTCCTTCACACAAAAGTCTGTTTGCAACTGAAACTGGGTTCTTGATTCCTATAAAATAAGCAAAAATAAAGTCAGAAAAATGTCCCCGTGTTTCCCACTCCATTTTGTTGTTTCAATAAGCCAAATTTTAAATACTTGGAAAATCCTTCTTTTCAAAACATCAATGATATTAATAATCCTTTACTATCAAGAACATTAAGAATCAAACAAATATATGACTACTACATAATAGATGCAAAAGAACTGATTGTACATATACTCATTTTTTCATGTGCTACAACAGCAAAAACAGAATTTGAAAAGCCACATATGAGGAACTTCAAAAAGTTCACAAAAAATTGAATTAATAAAGTATACTGAATATACTTGTGTATAAGCCAATTTTTCAGCACTTTAAAAAAATTATTTGAGGGCTTGTACACCTCATCACAATCCATACATCCATTCATTGTGTCAAGCACATTTGTATATTTTTTGCCATCATCATTCTCAAAACATTTTCTTTCTACTTGAACCCAGCCCTTGGTATCAGCTCATTTTTACCCTCCCTCATGAACCCTTGATAATTTATAAATTGTTATTATTTTGTCATGTCTTACACTGTCTTGACATCTCCCTTAGCCCACTTTTCTGTTGTCCGTCCCCCAGGAAGGGGGTTATATGTAGATCCTTATAATCGGTCCCCCTTTCTATCCCACCTTCCCTCCATCCTCCCAGTATTGCTACTCTCACCACTGGTCCCAGGGGGTTCATCTGTCCTGAATTCCCTCTGATTCCAGTTCCTATCTGTACCAGTGTACATCCTCTGGTCTAGCCAGATCTGTAAGGTAGAATTGGAATCATGATAATGGGGGTGGAGGGGGGAAGCATTAAAGAACTAGAGGAAAGTTGTATGTTTCACCGTTGCTACACTGCACCCTGACTGGCTCATCTCCTCCCCACGACCCTTCTGTAAGGGGATGTCCAGTTGCCTACAGATGGGCTTTGGGTACCCACTCTTCACTCCCCCTCATTCACAATGAAATGCTTTTTTGTTCTTTGATGCCTGATCCCATCGACACTTCATGATCACACAGGTTGGTGTGTTTCTTGCATATGGGCTTTGTTCCTTCTCAGCCAGAAGGCAGCTTGTTTGTCTTCATGCCATTAAGACTCCGAACGCTGTATCTTTTGATAGCCAGGCACCAACAGCTTTCTTCACCACATTTGCTTATGCACCAGCTCTGTCTTCAGCAATCATGTCAAGAAGGTGATTCAGCACATTTTTTATGCAGTTTTTGTGGTAAAATTAGGTGCCTCAGCTGATATTCGGGTCAGCTTATACTCAAGTATACTTGGTAATTAAGTTATCGGACTATTTGTAGCCCTTTCATATTTAACATAGAGTCTCTGGGTGATAAAAATGGTTACCAAGCCTGGCTGCTAACTACAAGGTTACAAGTTTAGTCCACCCAAAAGTATACATCACAAAACAATTCATGGCAATCTACTTCTGAAAATCCATTCACTGAAAACCCTATGGAAAACAGTTCCATTCTGACACACATGGTATCACCACTAGTCAGAGTCAATTCAACAGCAACTATTACTGGTTTATATATTGTATATAGGTTTCTTTTTCATCAAATTCTAAATGGAAGAAAAAATTAAGCTGAAAGTATGACACTCTCTGCTGTCAAAACTAAATTATTTATTTGACCACAAAACTATGAATTCACCCTAAAAGAAGTCAAGTATGTACAAAATTACAAATGTAACCTAAAACATAGCCCTTGTGTATATCCACAAATTTTTTCCCAAAAATATAATAGTAAGAAGTGAGACAAATGAAAATCTATGAAAGAAGGATGATAGCAGCAAGTACTAGCATGAGAAGCATCATAAGGATGACAATGACAACTATAAGGATGATGATAATAAAAGATAGTGGCAGTAGCATTACCTAATATGTGCCAGGCCCAGTCCCAAACCTTTAAATGTATACTATTTAATACCCCTTCAACAATTTTAACAGCGACACCTGTCAAAGATGACACCCTTAATTGCTAACTGACAGATACTACTGAAGATGTTAATACAAAGAAATATCAATAATTTATCATTTCCAAATTAGGCATTCAAATCTATAAATTGTCTACCTGAAGTTCAAAAGCATTTCTATGAAATACTAGCTGATTTAAATTCATCTGGAAAAATAAGCTTTGCAAGAGATGGTAAATAAGGATGTAATTTCTATTTCATGTAACAGCCAACCTAAATAAAAGTGTATAATTTGGGTACAATATAGACAAAGGTACTATTGTAATACAATGAATCTAAAACTCAGAAACAGGTGGATGTAGGTATTTAATACATGATAATGATAGCATTTCAAATCAGTGGGGGGAAAAGTTCTAGATCAGTGGTTCTCAGCCTTCCTAATGCCACGACCCTTTAATACAATTCCTCAGGTTGTGGTGACTCCCAAGCATAAAATTATTTTTGTTGCTACTTCATAACTATAATTTTGCTACTGTTATGAATCATAATATAAATATTTGATATGCAGGATATATTTTCATTGTTACAAATTGAACATAATTAAAGTATAATGATTAATCACAAAACAATATGTAATTATATATTGTGAAATATTTCTAATTACAAATAATTGAAATTTTGTCTTAAAGCATGGTGTAGCATGGGTAACAGTCTTAATATAACAACAGTAAATTAATTGCTACATTTTGTGACAGTATGCGTAAAAAGCCAATGTCAGTACGAAGGTTGAGATAGCTTCTTTCTCATCAGATCAGAAATTCTCGGGGCAGTCTTTGCAAGAGCACAATGAAGATCATCTTCCACAACAAGTCTACTTCTGTATTTAGACTTGATAACCAACAAGCTGGAAAACCCTATTTCACAAAGATATATTGTTGGAAATGGAAGAAGAAGGAGCAACACAGTCTCAGCCAGAACAGGATATGACTGCAAACACTTGATCCAAAATTTTGTAACTGGCATTGTAGAGAAATCAGTTCTCGCTGCATCGCAGTTAATAAGTTCAATGAACTCCTCTTGTGCTGTCTCAGGAACATCTTTAACTTTGACTCTGAATGGCCTTCTGGCAAGTGCAAGTGGAGTGTCAGGTAGATTTGGAAAGTACAATGAAATTTCGTCTGCAAGCATGTGTAGATGTTCTTTCACAGAAATTATCATCATAATCCTTTTGTCTGGTTCAATGCCATGTTCCTCGAAGAAAGCAGATAAGGTAGGCAACATGTAAATTTCATTTTCATCAAATTTTTTCCCCAGAGCTGAAGTTTCAATTGGCATGACTGGATCTTTTCAGACAAATCGAGGCATATTGCATTTGGTTCTTGCTGTAATAAATTTAACTCATTCAAGATGACAAAAATGTCAACCAAGTGAGCTATTTTCTGTACTTCACTTTTATCACTGAAAAGCTCTTCAAACTGCAGTCTTGCTTTCTGATTAAAAATGTTTTGAGTTCATCACAAAGCTCAAAGACACGTTTTAAAACTTTTCCTCTCGACAACCATCTCACTTCAGTGTGAAAATGCAGAGCATTATTCGGCACATCCAGTTTGTTGCACAGTTTCTTGAGTCCATCAGCTTTGCTTCTAAAATGGCTAGTATCCTTGCCGGCAAAGCTCGGATGCTTGCTATCAATATGGCGTTTTAGTTTGTTCGGCTTCATAGATTCAGCTGATAGAACTTCACAACAAATAACACATTGCATTTTTCTCATTCCTGCTGTAATTATTGAGGTAAAACCATACTGTAAAAAAAAAAACCTCACTATATTTTCTTTTCTTAACATTTTTCTCTACATGCTCCATTGTCATGGAATGGTTTGCTAATGAAAATAATATATAACAATAGCTTTAATAATACAAAAGATGACACATGGCATTGTTCAATCAACACAGTTCATTAAAGTGTTCTGTGATTTACCATTCTCTGTGTTGTTTTTTTACATACCTGTTACTATCACAATGGGGCAGTATTCACATCAACCACAGCTGAATATGAAAAGACCCACAGCATCCAGATTAAGTTCTCAGGGTACAGATTTTTTTTTTCTGCAGTAGTTGATGATTTTACAGTACATGATTTTATATTTACCCAGTCATTATAATTCATGAAGTGTTATCTCCAATACTGATGCTTCCAACACAGTAGCTGCTTTTAACAGAGTAGCTGCTTTCAACACAGCAGCTGCTTTCTACACAGTAGCTGCTCTCTACACATGTGTGACTGGTCCACATAAGTACATTATGGCACCAACTCTGTCACGTACACCTGTATTTGTTCAGGGTTTATGTGATGGGATTGGTGCGATGTTGTCATCATGCTGGGTACTTGTATGTGGGCGTATCTGCATGTGGGAGGACCCACCTGGAGATGGGTACAGTAGCGGTGTCTTGTTCCTAAGATCATCGGAAATATGTGTTTTCTGATGGTCTTAGGCGATCCCTGTGAAAGGGTCATTCTACCCCTGTAAAAGGATTGTTCAATCCCTAAAGGGGTTGTGACCCACAGGTTGAGAACCACTCTTCTAGATTGTCCAAGAGGAAAAAAGGATGGGAACAGGAAAAAAAAGATAATCACAGGTAAAATTTACTTACATCATTTAAATTTGAATGTTTTACTATGTGTATGTAGTATGTCTATATATTTTTACTATATATACAGTATATATAAATTATTTGAAATACCCAAGTAATATATATATTTTTTCAAATAATTTTAAAATATTAAATCAAGCTTTAGATATCAATAATCACTTGAAGGTCTGATGGAGAATGAACAAATTCTATCCAAAAACTTGGCCAAAGGCTGATATGCTTTAAAATTATTCATAGCTAAATGTTCCTATTTTAAATTCAGTAAAAGGAAAAAGATATCTGTTTTCAGCAAAAGTATATATAAAAATTGTGAGAACTAGACTAGACTAAATCTTTTTTTCCAATAGTTTTATTGAGATATAATTCACACATCATACACTTCCAAAGTCCAGTCATATTTTAAAAGAGTTGTATGAGTTCCAGAATGCCTCCTGCCTCCTTATCTGCTCTGCATTTTCCTTTGCCCCACCCATATCCCCAATAACCATTATACCAGTTATTATCTCTACACATCCTCCCATCCTGTGCTTCATATAGGGGAAAACATATCCAAAAAAGAGGAAGAAAGAAAGAAAACAGCAAATATATTTTTAAAGAAAGAACTAGCAATAATATTCAAATAAACAAAGGGAAAAAACCTCCGTCAAGAAAAAGGCAGGAAATATTGAAAATTAGAATAAATCCAAAATGGTACACTTAATATTCACCATTTTTGAAAGACTAGAGCTAGTGTGCCACAATGCCCACATACCACTCAGTGCTCCAACTGCTCCAAAATTTAAGGATTTTCCATCCATTATGCTGGCATCACATTCAATTTCACCCAAAAGATTGAGATTAGATCCTATTCCTGCATTCGTAAAAGGAGAATCCTAAAAGACAAAAATTAAATTTCCATTAGTCTTAAGAAAAAACAAGTGTACAGTGTCTAAAGTTTATTAATGGTTATTGGGGCAGAGTTGGAAGAAGAGGTTAGTGATAGTGGAAAAATGGCATGATTGAGGTTATGATTCTCTAGAAGAATAAACAAAAGGTATTAGACACATAAAATGGAATAGTACTCAGCCATTAAGAGAACTGAAGTCTTGATCCATGCTCCATATCTGAATGGAGACTGTAAAGACATTATATTGAGCAAAGCAAGTCAATCACAACACAACAAATGATTGTATGATTTCAATTATTTAAAAAGACAAGAACAGGCAATTATATAGAGATCAATGTTGATTGTGGTTATAGGCAAGAGAAAAGAGGAAAAGGAGAGGTATTATTTATGGAGTACTAAGTTTTTGGTTTAGGATGGTAGGAACATTATATTGATTAAAGCCAATTAATGTAATTTCTGTAAATAAGTGGTTCACCTGTAAAAGGTTGAACCGGTAAAAGTTGTATAATAGATATACAGTGATACCTCAGTTGTCCAACGGTTCCCAGCTCCAACTTTCCACTACTCAAACAGCAAAGTCTGAAAAAAAAAATCTGCGTGGTGGTAATAACTTTGCTCAATACTCAACTGAAAATCCGACTTGAAAAACCCTGTACTAGCTAAGAGTGAGTCACACATCGAGTCTCACCATGGAGGCAAAGGAGTGACGCTTCAGTCTAAGCACCCATCTTGCTCAGACAACATATAGTGCCTGTGTTGTGCATTAAAACATTTGACATTTTGTTGTTGTTGTTGTTTTTGCACTTTATTTGTGTAAAATATTGTGACCAGGGCTCCAAAAAAAGGTACTTATTCCAGTCATAAAGCTAAGATGAAAGCTCCAAGAACCATGAGAGAGTTAAAGAAGGAAATCACTGAGAAATCTGACTCAGGTCACCACTTGCTTGAATGTTCTAAGTTGACAATATCAACACTGGGAGGGTGGGGGAATGATTAAAGCAGAGAAAGGTGTGAAATTGTTAACTATGAAACAAAGGATCTAGAACACTGAAGGAGTTGAAAATATACTGTTAATTTGTGTAAATCAAAAAAACTTCATGGCAATAGCATATCTGAGACAGTGATCAGAGAAAGCTAAAAGCCTCCATAGTGATTTAAAGTCCTGGAAAAATGAATTTAGAAGTATAATTTTTGAGCCTCAGAACCAATTATTTGGTTTTCCATTATTTCTTATTGGGGGAAAAAAAATATGCCAGTTCTCAAACTTACAGTGGTTGAACATGAATTTGGAATGAACTGAGTTTGACAAGTGACCGTCCAAGGCATAACTGGTCTCTATTTGCTTGAAGGGAAAGGATAAAACAGAGCCGGAGCAGAAGAAAATAATGGAATGTTTGGCAAGTTGCATCCACAAACAACTGCCCACATTTCCAGGAAACTAGAAGATTTGAATGGTTTCAGCCTACTGAACATTTCAATTAAAAACCTACCAAAGGATCCTGAACGAAGAGGGGAAATGTAAAGCAGAATTTCAAATTCGCAAGGACTCCAGACTTGATCCCAAGGAGACTGGATAAACTCTTGAAATTAATACAGTGAATAATCTTTAAAACTTAAAACAAAATAATAATTTATAAATTACCAAGGGTTCATGAGGGAGGAGGGAGCAGGAAGGGAGGGGGAAATGAGGAGCTGATATCAAGGACTCAAGCAGAAAGCAAATGTTTTGAGGATGATGAAGGCAAAAAATGTACAAATGTGCTTGACACAATGGATGGATGTATGGGTAAAGAGTTGTACGAGCCCCCAATAAAATAATTTATTTATTTATTTATTTATTTTTATTTTTAAACATTTTATTAGGGGCTCATACAACTGTTATCCCAATCCATACACACATCAATTGTGTAAAGCACATTTGTACATCGTTTCTCAAAACATTTTCTCTCCATTTAAACCCCCAACATTAGGTCCTCATTTTTCCCCTCCCTCCCCGCTCCCCCCTCCCACATGAGCCCTTGATAGTTTAGAAATGGGTATTTTGTCATATCTTGCCCTGTCCGACGTCTCCCTCCATCCACTCCTCGGTTGTCTGTCCCCCAGGGAGGAGGTCACACACAGTTCCATGTAATCGGTTCCCTCTTTCCTACCCATTCTCCCTTTACCTTCCCTGTTCTGCCACTCACACCACTGGTCCTATAGGGCTCATCCGTCCCGGATTCCCTGTATTTTCAGTTCTTATCTGTACCAGTGTACCTCCTCTGGTCCAGCCCAAAGTATATCCTGAAGCCTTCTTAAAATCAAGTAATCGTTGAGCTTAACTTGTAAAAATGTGTGTCTTAAACATTATCAGGAGCCCTGTGGTATCATGGTTTCTGAGTTGGGCTGCTAACTGTGAGGTCAGCAGTTCGAAACCACAGCCACTCCCCAGGAGAAGGATGAGGCTTTCTGCTCCTGTAAGCAGCCAGAGCCTCGCAAACTCAACAAGGTAGTTCTACTTTGCCCTATAAGGTGGCTAGGTGTCGGAATCAACACAGTGGCAGTTAATAAGCATTCTACTCTTTTAAGGACTAAATGAGATCAAAGTGACGACAACAACAACTTGAAATATCAGATAGGAAATCGAGGAGATAGTGAATAGGTGTTACAGGAGAAGGAACAACTAGAAAAAAGAGAGTAAGACTGGCTGCACAACCTCACACCAGCAGTCAATGTCTCTGGATTGTACATGTACAAACAGTTGAATATGTGCTTGTTTTGCTGTGTAGATTTCTCCACAATAACAACAAAATAAAACTTAACAACAAAAAGTTCTCATTAGTCTGAAAGGACAACTAATGAGAGAGCTTCATAAATTCGTCCACAGATTAGAAGGGGAACAAATCCTTTCCACCTCACTGTAAGGTGCCATTTAGTACCTGCATACTACTAAAACCAAAGACAGCAGAAGAAAATTAAACTACAACCGAATAAAACTAAAAAGCAAAACCTATTTCTGCCCCTTTGGTTCCAGCCCAAATCATCAGGTAATCCTTCCATGAAGCAGCCGGTTGGGCACGTTAAGCCCCCACAGCGTTCCATTAGCAGTCAAGTACAAACTATCTCTGCCACCTGCAAACCAATATACCCTGCGCATGCTCTTGCTATTTTTGGCATGATGACGTGTACAACCACTGATACAACCTGAGGTATGCATAGACCAGGCACTGCTGGTGAATGGCATCAACAAGTCCATTTCAAATGCATCAGGATCCATGTGGCGAGCAGAATGCCACCATAACGCTGGCCTGCTATTTGAGTGGTCACCAGCTCAAACCAACCAGCTGCTCTGGGAGAAAATGAGACTATTTGCGCTCATAAAGATTTCTAGCCTTGGAAACTATATATAGAATCTCTACAAGTCAGGACTGACTCAGCGGCTGTGGGTTTGGTGTGGATTGGATATTTACAGGAACAAAACGGTTAGCTAGGTCTTTCCTAGTGGAGCTGTGGAATGGATTCCAACTTTCAACCTTTCAGCTACCAGCCAAGCACTTAACCATTACTCCACAAGGAATCCTCCTGCCTTACCTTGTCCATGCTGACACAGAAATGCACACACACACACACACACACACAAATGCTAGCAAACTGAATACAGCAAAATACTAAAAAGATTATTTGCCATTACACAAAGCATTCTGTCCCAAATCAACCAAAAGGTTGATTTAAAATCCTAAACTCAATAAAGTACTAATAAAATGTTTAATGACCATATTAATAAATGCAGAAAAAGTAATTGACAAAATTCAATACCCTTTCATAAGAAAAAGTCTCAACAAATTAGAAATAGAATTCCCTCAACAATATAAAGACCATCTATAAAAATTAGTTAATATGTAATTAGTACAAGAGTTAAATGGTGGAAGACTGAATTGCTTTCTACTGAAGATCAAGAAAGCAAGAATATCAGCTGTGTGTCCTTCTACTCCTCACTGTATGGCTATTCCAGACAGGCCAATTAGGCACACACACACACACACACACACACACACACACACACATAGTACCCAAACTGTAAAAGCCAATTTGAAGTTATTTCTATTCATAAAGGATACCACCTTATATATTAAAAATCCTAAAGAATTTATGAAAACCAATTAGAATAAATGACTTTATAAAGTTTCAGTACAAAGGATGAATACACTAAAAAATCAACTGTATTTCTGTAAATGTATATACTCATGTATAAGCCGAGTTTTTCAGCACATTTTTAATGCTGTTTTTGTGGGGAAAATAGGTGCCTCGGCTGATATTTGGGTCGGCTTATACTTGAGTATATACATACTATTAATGTACTATCCAAAAGTGAACACATAAAAAATTGCTTAAAGAAATAGAAGACTTGAGTCTAGAAATGGAAAAACATTCTGTGTACATAGATCAGGAGACAATACTGTTAAGATAATGCTATCTAAATTAATCTGATTCAAGACAACCCTTAATGCAAAATCCCAGCTGCCTTTTGGCAGCAGAAATTGACAATCTAATCCTAAATTCCACATAGTAATACAAAGAACCTATTCCAGTCAAAACAATCTTGAAAAAAAAAAAGAAGAAACATAAAGGACTCCCACTTCCAATGTTTTTAACTTGTTAGAACTCTAAAGCGCGATATTGTACATACAAGGTATTTTCACAAATTTGGTGGAAAAATTATCAGATTTTCTAATTCCATTTTTTCCATAAACTTTTTGAACCCCTTCATATAGATAAAGATAGACATATATATCAATGCTGTAGAAATGACAATCTAAAAATCAATTCAACAAGAATGCCAAGAAAATTCATTGGTGAAATAATGGTGTTTTCAACAAATTATATCAAAGACAACTAGATGTCCACATGCAAAAAATGATGCCGAATCCATACCTTATATCACATAAAAAAATTCACTCAAAATGGATCAAGGAACTAAGTCTAAAAGCTTATCTCAGAAAGACTTTG